CACCCCTTTAGTGCAGTTACTACCGCTAGGAGCGATCACCCTGACACTGTGCAGCACTCTCATCCCTATCGGCTTGGGCGTCTTCATTCGCTACAAGTACAACCGGGTGGCTGACTACATTGTGAAGGTGAGGTCTCTTCCCTTCCCATACTTAGAGCAAGTGTCTCTGGCCTCTGGCCAATAGCTGAAATGCTAAGAAGTTAGGGGTGTGGGGGTAAGGAAGTAAAGGACTTGGCAGCATGGATAAACTTGAAAAAAAGTTTTCCCCAAAGATAATTTTCACATTTTGGAATTTCAAAAATTATAGCTTTAATTGGGCCTCCCTGGTGGCACAAGCGGTTAAGACTCAACCTATAAAGCTGCCCGCAGCCACTGCAGCACCAGTTTAATCCCCGGCCAGGGAGCTACCCACATGGGGCAGCAGACCTCTCCTGTCTCACCCGCAGCTCCCCTCAGCAGTGTACTTTGGTCAATCTGCCTGTTTGTTCCCCACTCTGTCTCTGGTGAATCCTCTCACGCCCCACCCCCACACCTCTGGTCTGTACCCCAGCTCTTGAATGCATAAATAAATAAATCTTTAAAAATTATAGCTTTTATTAAAACACAGCTTGATTAAGAACAGCATAAGAGAATTGTGGCCATACCATGCAGAAAAAGATATTCACTTATACACAATAATTTTCTGTGAACAAATTGTGTATTACTTAAATTAAAGCAGGTAAAATAAAACTATTTTAATAGAATTTGTGCAGCATTTAGAAGTGCATCACTATGTTTTTAAAGTGAGAAATTCTGTAGAATGTTCTTTCAAAATATTTTATTAATTTTAAAAAATAAAGCTGGTGCTTTTTTAGCATTAGATTTTTTAATAGTTGAAGAAAAATTTTAAATAGTTGTAAGTTTTCTTTGAAAACTCATAAATAATATTAAGAGTAAACCATGAACAAGATTCTCATTTTAGAAAGTTAGTCAAATAGAATACTGTATTCTATTTCAATAACTAATTACTGTAAAATGCACAGGTAAATCCCTTTAGACAAATGAAGAGACAGAGCCACTCAAACACCTCAGTTATGTAGATTTAAGACCTAATCTTTTGTATTATACTTATAGTAATTTATTTTCTCTCTTTTTTTTTTTTTTGTGGGAACCTCGCTGGCAGCCGGGGAACAAACTGGCGCTGCAGAGGCTGTGGGCAGCCTCGCAGCCCAGCGCTCAACCGCTGTGCCACCAGGGGAGGCCCTATAGTAAAGGAATCTGATTATACAGAGGGGCTAACTTTTATTAATATGAAAAATAGAGAATTCTTTTCTGTACATATATCCAGCCTTGAGTAAAAAGAAATTGTGCTCTATAATAAACATATATGAATATAATAAATATGTATGTACATGTAAATACCTGTTTGATATAATACATAATCTACCCCAAAATAACCTTGAGATGCATCCATAACTTATTAAACTTAATCACTGAACCAATACTACTAATGTGAATGCATGTAAATTCCTACAAGTCTGAGGAATTTTAAGGAAAAGTCAATCAAATCAGTTATTTCCATGCTAAAACAATTATTGTTAAATAACAGATAACTCAAGATTGACTCACTTTGAGTTTAATGAAAACCTATCCCTATTCCTTAGCCAGCATACTCCTAAGATATGCCTTCTACATTTTCATACTTTTGCAAACACTTTAAGCTGACATTCAACATCAGTGTTCATCCCAATGATTTAAAGTAGTTCAAAGGAAACTTGGATTGGAGCCACAATGGAAAATCAGATTTCATGTCAAGGATTTTAAGGTGAACATATTTTGAAACAATGTAAGAAAATTGTGGATTTATAATAATTTGATTGGTTTCTGCTAATTGTACATTTGTACAATGAGTAACTTAAATTCTTCTGGATCTCTAGTTTCCCCTACACACACCCCATTTTTCAAAAAGATTTATTTTCATTTATTTTATGCATACAAGAACTGGGGTGTAGGCCAGGGGTGCGGGAAGGGGTGTGTGTAAGAGGATTCACCAGAGACAGAGTGGGGAGCAGAACAGGCAGACCTACTGAAATACACTGCTGAGGGGAGCAGCGGGCGAGACAGGAGAGGTCTGCTGAGCCTTGTGGGTTAGCTCCCTGTCTTGGGATCGAACTTATAATTGAACTCATGCCGCAGTGGCTGGCTATCGCTTGATAGTGCTGAGACTAACCCCTGAGCCACCAGGGAGGCCCAAATACCCCATCTTTTATTTTATAAAGTGAGCTAAGCACCAGTCTGAAGGAAAAATAAGAGAGAAATTCTTAGGTTTTTCACCTTACTATTATAGAATCTGCAGTAAGAAATGTACCAATGACACAATGTTTTATACAAAATCAGTTGTACAATATCTAAAACCCATCTATTATATCTAATCAATCCTAAGCATTATCAATTGTATAGGTAAGTGGTTTCTTATTCACAGATTTTAAAAGGCAGTATATAAGCATAATTGTAAAGAATTCCTCAAAACTTATGCTTGTATTTTTTCTCTTACATGATCTAAGAGTGGGTGATTATTTCAGTATTGCTAACAGTTCTGTGAGACGTAAATTATTTTGAAGGTAAAAAATATCACACAGCTTGTTTCATAAATGCTAGTGGCCCCTTTCCTTGAGTATAAATCCAGAACTAATTTCTTATGGAGTCCTATTTAGGGGAAGTAATCGCCATTTGTCTACTCCACTGATCCATCATACCATACCTGGTGTGTTGGGCTCAATTCTAACTGCCTTGTTTTTAAGAGGCTCATTCACAAATGTCATGCTCAGGACAGACTCCAAATCAGATTTATATGATGGAGGCTGAAAGCCTGGGGACGGTCTGCCTGTGGAACAGCTATTTGGCTGGAGAAAGAGTCTGGTTCGTGTTGCTCCCGAGAGCCTATCCCAGACAATGGCTAGCCATGATAGAAGGTACATTGTCAATGGACAGATGGACAGGCCTCCAAATGTTCGAGCTGTCTGGCTGCCTCCTGAAGAGGTCATGCACCCATCTTCATAAATATTTTGTAAAGACATTTTATGCCAAACATCTCTGTGTTGTGTGGGATTTGGACTAGATGGACCTCTTCTTCCAAGAGCCTAGGGTTCTCTTGTCTGAATTCTTCTTCAACTATCTTATTTTTGATGGTTCATCTCTTTCCTTTTACTAGGTTTCCCTGTGGTCTCTGCTAGTGACACTGGTGGTCCTTTTCATACTGACTGGCACTATGTTAGGACCGGAACTGCTGGCAAGAATTCCCGCAGCTGTTTATGTGGTGGCAATTTTTATGCCTTTGGCAGGCTATGCCTCAGGCTATGGCTTAGCAACCCTCTTCCACCTTTCACCTAACTGCAAGAGGACTGTGTGCCTGGAAACAGGTAGTCAGAATGTGCAGCTCTGTACTGCTATTCTGAAGTTGGTCTTCCCTCCACGATTCATAGGAAGTATGTATATGTTTCCCTTACTCTATGCCCTTTTCCAGTCTGCAGAAGCAGGGATTTTTGTTTTGATATATAAAATGTATGGAAGTGAAATATTGCATAAGCGAGAGCCTCTAGATGAAGATGAAGATACAGATATTTCTTACAAGAAACTAAAAGAAGAGGAAATGGCAGACACTTCCTATGGCACAGTGAAGGCAGATAATTTAATCATGATGGAAACCACACAGACTTCTCTCTAAACATGGAAACCCCGGCGCTTCCACCTTGCTGAAATATCACTTCGTATTTATGGTCTGTGGTAGTGCATATGGTTTACATAAAGGATAACAATGGGTCCGTTCACATACATGTAACAATTACGACCTCTCCATTGTAAGGTTGCTTTGGTGTATTAACCAAGCGTTTTCAAAATTACAAATCATTGTCATAATATAACTTGCACCTGCAGCTGCTAATGGGACGTCTGAACCAGTTAAATGTGCTGTTTGGTTTTCACCATTACCAAATTCCATGACTATTTAAAATATGTAAATTCTTAGAAAACAGGGTCTCAGAAATGTAGAATTTTGGTGCACTATCTTAAAGAGTGAAGATAAGCTATATTTGTAAAGCATAATGAGTTTAATGTAATTGCTGTTTTAAAAAAAAGTGTGCTCGCTCACTCAACTTGTGATTACTTGACAATGTTGAATTTTGACCTGTACTCAGAAAAATTCCCAAACAGGTCAATTAAACAATGGAATATAGTATTTTATTGTCGAACCTGCATCAAACCAGAGAAAATTACATTAATGTATTTGATTACTTGATCTGATATATGTGTTGGTAACGAACAGCCAACATTTTTTTACAGAGGACAAGGCACTTTTCAAAATTTCTGCATTTATGTAAACACAACCCAGATCAGTTTCTCTTCTGGAGGATGACTTAGGAATGACTGTAGAATTACAGAGAACAGCAGTGGTCATCGGTACCTCGCGGTCACCCTCTGAAAAGAGGGGAAAGGTCTTGAGAAGGGCGGGAAGGAAACAATTAGCCAAGATGTGGCTGCCTCAGCTTGCTTTCCCTGTACGCTTACGGAAAGCGGTCAGCGGGCAGAAGTCCCAGAGCGGCTGGGAGATAATTAGATAAACTATACTCGGAGATCCTAAGAAACAAGACCCCAAACGGGCAGCTCTTTGGCCCACTGGCGGGAGGCGCCTCGCCTCAGCCCGGGGCTGAGCCCTCCGGCCTTAGACACCTGGAGCCCCCCGGGCGCGGACACCTGCAGCCCTCGGGCCCCGGGCACCCCCTGCTCAGCTGATCCCGGCGATGGTTCTGCCGGAATAGTCTTCGGATCAGTTCTTGCTTCGCCAAGGAAGCCTCTTTCCGATCCCGGGGTGGAGATGTTCCCCGCGACCAGCTCTCCGAGGGGGCGCCCGGGGCTGGGAAGGGCGCGGGGCGCGGCGCGGGCGCGGGCGCGGGGCGGGCGCGGGGCGGCTTCCGCGCGGCCGCCTATTTAGGGCGCGGGCGGGCGCGGCGGGCGCGGCTGCGCTTATGGCTGCCCTGGGGGACGAGGTGCTGGACGGTTACATGTACCCGGCGTGCGCCCCCTACTCGTGCTCGTACCCCTTCCTGCCCGCCGCCAAGGGGAAGGGCGTGGCGGGCGGAGGCGGCTGGCGGCCCCGGGGCGGGGGCTACTCTCCCGCGTCCTCCGCGGCGGCGGCCGCGTCCTTCCCGGGTTGCGGGCAGCTGACGGCCGCCGACTACTTCGACAGCTACCAGCGGGCGCAGCTCATGGCCCTCCTGTCGCAGGTGAGCCCCGGGCTCGCCCCGCGCCCGCGCCGGGCCGGCAGCCGCGACGTGGCGGTGCAGGTGAACCCGCGGCGCGACGTGGCGGTGCAGTGCGCGCTGGGGCGGCGCACGCTGCAGCGCAGGGCCCGCGACCCCGGCCCCGCCGCCAGCCCGGGTGCCCAGGGCGCGGCGGGCGCGGGCGGCGGCGGCTCGGCCTCCCCAGCGCCGCCCCGCCGGGGCCCCGAGCCCGGCAGCCCTGCGAGCGGCGCCCCGCGGCCGGTGCGCTTCCAGCGCACAGTCGCTGTGTACTCGCCCGTGGCCTCCCGCCGCCTCACCACCTTCCTGGGGGGGCCCGAGCCCGGGGCGCCGGGGGGAGAGCGGGGGCCACCGCCTTCGAGGCCCCGAAGCCCCGAGGAGGGAGAGCAGTCGGCGAGGAAGGCGCCCCAGCCGCGGCCACCCGACGAGGAGGCGCAGGCCCAGGCCGCGGAGCAGGCGAGCTCGGTGGACGGGCCGGGGGTGCCGCCGCGGGAGCCCCGAGAAGGCGAGGTGGGTTCGCCGCGCGCGTCGAGGAGCCCGGAGCAGCCCCCGCCGGTGGGGCGCACCCAGGACGGCGCGGGCTGGGTGTCGTCGCCGCGGAGCCAGGAGCTGGGCACGGAGCGCCTGCGCTTCCAGGTGAGGCTCCGTGGGCCGGGGAATCGGGGTGGGGGGGGTGTGCCGGAGGGTGTCCCCTAGATCCGGCCCCTGCCCTCCAGCCAGGGCCGCTGGGGACAAGCGGAGGCTCCGGGCTTCCTTGAGCTCAAGCCGTGTCCGCGCCTTTGCAGCCGCTGACCGTGGCGGGTATCATGTTCCTCCGGCTGCAGAATTAAGTCCAGCATCGCCTGATTGTTGCGAGCTGCCACTGTGAAACTTCGGCTCCCGCGTTTGGCCAAAAAGATGCCCGCTTAACATTCTTATTCAGAGCATCTTGCCGTGCAAAACTGACCGTGTTGTTCCCTAGCAGCGGGGAACTTGCTGGCAGGAAAGTAGCTTCCTGAAGGATCCCACTCACATTTCTGAATTCAGTGTGGCAGATGCTTTAACTGGACCATTGGGATCCAGGTCTGCTTTCTCCCCTGATTCTTGCCGGCATCTACTGGAAGCTAGAACTTCTGAAATGCCTCCCTTCCTATTCTTCCTTGCTCCAAAACAAAGAAAACACAAAAACCCACTCATACAGGAATACACTGCTGTTGAAGCATTTATTTGGGTCGTTGTTACCTTTGCCTGAGAGCAGTGGGGGCAAGGAGGGTGTAGGGTGATTTAATCAAGCTTTTTGCACCGCTAGCCTCTGTGCTATCACCTGCAGCCTTGATTGTGTTGATGCAGAAGGCCCTTTGGAGTGTGGGTGCAGGGCCTGCGTGCCTGATTGTGGGCACCTGGAGTGTGGATGCATGAACATGCGTAAATGTGCACACCTGAGCCTAGAGGCCGGGGATATAAGAGCGGCATCACTCAGGAGGATGCTAGCAGAGGACCAGCGGTTGTGACTACAGAAGAGGCAAGGTGGAGAGAGGAGAGCTAGAGCTCCCCATGGAGCATAAAGACTTGTGGGGGTGCTGGGACTCTGCCCATTGCCAGCCTGCAGGCTTGCCACTGCAGAGGGGTCAGTTCACACTAGCTGAACCCTAAGAGGCTGGAGTATTCTAAGGGCAGCTGTGACCTGGAAGCAAAGGTAGTTAGAGGCCAGGGTGAGTCCTTTGGATTTCCAAAGAATCTCTCAGCCACAGTTTGCGGGGTGAGGCAAGGGAGTAAGGAGAGGATTGCATGAAGAACCCAGAGCTTTCAATCGGCAATTACCATACACAAGCTAGGGGTGATTCAAACCACCTGTGATCTTAAGGCTTAACTTTGTTTAACTTCAGCTGGCTCACCTGTGAAATTGCTCCAAGCGCTCTCCAGAATTCTTTCAGTTTTAAAGGTCTGATTCCAAAAACTTGTTTTTAACTTTTACTGAGAGGGAGGAAGAGAAGTTTAAGAATAAGGTGATGTTACTTTAGGTCATAACTAAGTATGAATTGTAGCTTTGTTACAGTTTAGATTCCTGGAAATTGAACTAGCAGCATAGAAAACTTAAGCTTGGAGGCAGGCTTAACTCTTTTCTTTGATTTAACCATTTCGAAATGTGTATGTTCTAACATCTGATTTTATCCTACAAAGAAAAGCTCTCCCTGAAGAATGTCTGTTCAAAGAATCCTGGATGTTTGATCTGTTATCTGAGAGGAAACCCCTACTTAGTAACTTGTTTGTTAACTGACAATGAACCAAGTTAATCTGGCCTGTAAACTTTTTTAGACCCTTCCTTAGTGATTTGCTTGATTAAGCCATGAACTCAATTACCATATTATAGAGACAAATTCCAATCTGAACTTCATGTTCTGGAGTAAAGATGCCAGTTTTTTTTCTTTGTTTTTAAGATTTATTTATGCACATAAGAACTGGGGAACAGGCCATAGATGCGGGGGGTGAGAGGATCCACCAGAGACAGAGTGGGGAACAGAACATGCAGACTGAAATACACTGCTGAGGGGAGCAGCGGGTGAGTCAGGAGAGGTCTGCTGCACCATGTGGGTCAGCTCCTTGGCTGGGGATCTGACTTGTGCTCCAGTGGCTGCAGATAGCTTCATAGGTTGCGTCTTAACTCCTTGCGCCACCAGAGAGGTCCGGGATGCCAGTTTTAAGATTCAAACATTGCAGATAGTCTGAAATGAACACTAATGTCTTGTTGGTTCCACTCTGATAGCCTTTTGTTCAGTTCTTAGAGCAGAAGTATGGCTATTATCACTGCAAGGACTGCAACATCCGTTGGGAAAGTGCCTACGTGTGGTGTGTGCAGGGCACCAATAAGGTAAGAAATGCCACATGAGGGCATCTCTTTGACAAATATCAAGAGGATATTGCTTTAAGTTTTCCCTCCTTCCTCCCTTCCCTCTCATCACAGGTTTACTTCAAGCAGTTTTGCAGAACTTGTCAGAAGTCTTATAACCCTTACCGGGTGGAGGATATCACTTGTCAAGTAAACTGTTTGCATTTGTGTTTGAACTGGGTAGTGGTAGAGGGTTTTAGTATACTTTCTTGAATGTATTTCGTAAAAGATGCTAGATTTCCAGGGACCTGAGGTTTTGACTGTTTTTTGATAGTTGTAGAAATAGTTTACTCGACTGGTAAATTGGGCTTTGTGGCTGTTTCCTTCTGGCCTTGCAAATCTTGGTCATGTTAACTAACAACTTTTGAGACTTCACTTGCAGTATGGAAGAATGCTTGCATTACAGCTGCTCGGTCTTATGTAAGAGGAAGCAAACTGAAAAACGGAATGCCTCTCTAATAATGTAAGGTGGTGAAGGTTGACTATTGCCTGAAAGAGGCTAGGTTATGTTTTTTAAGAAGCATATACCCAAACTATTTAGAATAAGCATGCACTTTTAAAGTTTGTCTTGCCTGAATGGACTAGAATGCTTGCAAAAGGTGGATGATTTGTTTTAAAATAATTCTAAGTAACCCAGCTTTATGGGGTTAACTGGTAACACGTTGCTCATTAACTAAGCACTGAGCACTGTGCTCAAGGGTATAGAGCATCTAAAAAGAAATGATTAGACTTGTTATCACACAGCTAGTGGAGTCTGTCTGATTTGCCAGTTGAGAGAACCTACCTAATCAAGGTCCTTGATCAACTTGGACATTGGAAGATAACACCATAGGGTGGATGGGGGAAAACTAAGTATGAAAATATTACCCTTCTTTGCCATACCTAAGTTCATCTGAGGTTCTAAAGTGGAATGCCTTAACCAAGCTGTTTTTGGCTCAGTACTTTAGTGCTCGGCCTTCTGTCTCAGCTTTAGGTCATTTGCAGCAGGTGGAGGAACAAGGAGGAACAAGGTCAGCTGCTGATGGCAGGCCTGGCCCAGCCTTGCTGCCAGTTACATCTTTATTTGCAGACTTCTCTCACCCAATTGATTGTTTTCCACTCTTCCCACCCTTTAAGTGTAGCAAGAGATTTCCTTAGAAAATTTTCACGAGACAGGTCACAATTTAAAGTGAGTCCTGTGTAGTATGAGGCTACAACTCCATGGTTGAATAGCCTGTGTTCTAATTCTAGTACTAGGCAGAATAAGGTTAGTACAGGGCTCTGCTTGGAGTTCGTTCAGTATTTGAATGGACTAGAAAAATAACTGAAGTTGTAGGAAATCACCAAGGGTTTTTCTGTCTGTGCTCTCACTTTGATTTTCCAGAGTTGTAAACAGACTAGATGCTCCTGCCCTGTAAAACTTCGCCACGTTGACCCTAAAAGGCCCCATCGTCAAGACTTGTGTGGGAGATGCAAAGGCAAACGCCTGTCCTGTGACAGCACTTTCAGCTTCAAATATATAATTTAAATGAATGTAAAATATGGTCCTGCTGGACATGTGCTAGTGGAGCAGACAAGTGAGCTTTTTTTCATGGCCCTTTCTGCCTCTCCCTTCTGAAAATACTTCCTGGAAGGCTGTATTTTTGTTTGACAAAGCCTTTAAATAAAGTATTGCAAAGCAATTGCTAAACTGCATAAAATCTTTTTTTAAAAAAATAAAGGTTTAGGAAAGCTTGTCTTATGCTAACAGTTTGACCCAGTCACTTGATCTCTGATAATCATGGTGTATGGGCTGGCCAGGCTCAGAATTAGTCACTCACTACACTTTGGGGTGGGAGGGGGATAGGGTTCAATGTCAGCTAAAATTATAGGCAAGATGAGTTGAATCAAAAGCACCTGACCATGAGAACTGCTGCCTCTGAGAGGTGGATGTAGGCTATGCCTTTATATATGAGTGGACTGCTAGGGTAGCCGGAGTCAGAAGCCTGAGTGGCAGGCTGGGGTGGGAGTGTCAGTGCATATGGGTGATCTTGAGTAGGTAACAAACTACCGGGTGGAGGGGGGTGGGAACTGTGAATGAGGTTGATTTGTTAATCCTGGTTTCATGGATGTGATGCAGCTGGCTCAGGGATGGCTTTTTTGGTTTGTTTTTAATAGAGGCATGTTTTATTTGTTTTGTTTATACAAGCACTGGGTACAGTCAGAAGCGTGGGAGGGTGAGAGAATTCACCAGAGCCAGAGCGGGGAGCAGAGCAGGCAGAAGGACTGAAGTACACTGCTGAGGGGAGCAGCGGGCGGCAGGAGAGGTCTGCGCGCCATGTGGGACCCTCCTCTGGTGGCCGGGGAGCAGCCGGGGATCGAACCGGTGCCGCAGAGGCCGCGGGCAGCTTCGCAACCCAGCGCTCAACCGCTGCGCCACCGGGGAGGCCCAGGGATGGCTTCTTTAAGACGTTAACGTCATCAAATGGACTTCCACTGGCAACTTCTTTTGTATTGAATAGGCCTCCTAAATGTAAGGATTAAATGTGATCTGTTTGCAGCTTTAGACTTGACTGACTTGGCCTTCTAGAATTGGAAATGGTGTCTTGTGCCATCTAACACATGGGTCCTCATCCTAACTGCACCTAAGCTTCCTACCCAATTCCCAGGAAAAACCTGCAACCCAGCTCCAAGCTCTTCAGGTCAAGGATGGCACTTTAGTCTCAGGCGAGTCTAATCTTAGAGTTGAGAGCAGCCAGTTTTATGGCTACAAAACCACATAATTGGCACCAGGTGCTAATTTTGCCTCCCAATATCCTAACCACCCAGTTTAACCCTTACTAGCTTAGAAGGCCATATAAGTAAGTCTGATCACATCTTGGGTGCTTGTGTGTAGACCAATACAAGGAATCAGGGAATGTAAAAATAAATTGAGGTCTCAGAACAAGGAAAGAAGTCCCTTTGCATCCATATGGACCAAGGAAGGTGTTTGTAAAAGTGGACTTTCCTAGACCTCTGTTCCTAATGAATTACTCAGGTGAAGACTTTAAACAAGCACCCCCAGGAACTAGGGTGAAAACTACCACTTAGGCAGCCTTTCACTTACTATAGCAAAACACACATTTTGCTATTAAATACAAAAGTTACCAGTGGAAGACCTCATGAGCTTCCAGTATACTGGGTAGATGGCAATTAATTTCTGCATAAAAAATATAAAGTGGGCCTCCCCGGTGGCGCAGCGGTTGAGCGCTGGGTTGCGAAGCTGCCCGCAGCCTCTGCAGCGCCGGTTCGATCCCCAGCTGCTCCCCGGCCGCCGGAGGAGGGTCCCACATGGTGCGCAGACCTCTCCTGCCCCCGCTGCTCCCCTCAGCAGTGTACTTCGGTCCTTCTGCCTGTTCTGCTCCCCGCTCTGGCTCTGGTGAATTCTCTCACCCTCCCGCACTTCTGACTGTACCCAGTGCTTGTATAAATAAATAAATAAATCTTCAAAAAAAAAATATTAAGTGCTTGTGAAAGGTAGGGGATCTACCTATCAGGGAAGGCGTGGTCAGGGATGGCGTGCCTAAGACTTCAGCTGAGCTGGTTTGAGTTGAATTAGGTGAAGAGAGTAACACATGCAAAGGCACAGTGGTAGAAAAAGCCCGGGGGAGGAGGAGGCCACAGTAGTAGAAAACTGGAGGGGTGGGAAGGGCATAATGCAGGGGAGACTGTAGGCCTAGATGGTGGGGACTTCTTAGACCTCACTCAGGAGGACTGGTCTTCCTGTCATCAGTGAGAATTCACTGAAAGATTTGAAAGGTGTTGTGGGACATGGTGAGAGATTCACTTTTAAAAAGAAAGTCACCCGTACGATGGGTGCTGGTAAACCAGTAAGGTGACGTGCAAAGACCTGGTACAGTGATGATGGTGCCATAGAGGATAAAGATGAAGGGGATGTTTTCTCTAGTCTGTTACTACCTGTTTGCTGGTAGGCACAGGGATGAGAAACTCACTTGACTCCTATGGTATACATAATATGCACTTTAAAAGCATTTGCTAGGGCCTCCCCGGTGGCGCAGCGGTTGAGCGCTGGGTTGCGAAGCTGCCCGTGGCCTCTGCAGCGCCAGTTCGATCCCCGGCTGCTCCCCGGCCACCGGAGGAGGGTCCCACATGGGGCGCAGACCTCTCCTGCCGCCCGCTGCTCCCCTCAGCAGTGTACTTCGGTCCTTCTGCCTGCTCTGCTCCCCGCTCTGGCTCTGGTGAATTCTCTCACCCTCCCGCGCTTCTGACTGTACCCAGTGCTTGTATAAATAAATAAAAATAAATCTTAAAAAAAAAAAAGCATTTGCTAAATGAGGGGACAATAGAAATATACCTATAATGAGTCCTAAGACATTCACTATATGGGTAGTTAAATCGTTCTTTAATAGTGTGCCACTAATTTTTTTTAAACATAGTTATTATATATATTTTACATCATTGTTCATTTTTATTTTTTAAAGATTTATTTATTTATACAAGAGCTGGGGTACAGGCCAGAGGTGCGGGGAGGGGGAGGAGAGGATTCACCAGAGACAGAGTGGGAAATAGAACAGGTAGATTGACCAAAGAACACTGCTGAGGGGAGCAGTGGGCGAGACAAGAGAGGTCTGCTGCGCCATGTGGGTTGCTCCCTGGCTGGCTGGGTGATCGAACTCATGCTGCAGTGACTGGGGACAGCTTCATAGGTTGTATCTTAACCCCTTGCACCGCTGGGGAGGCCCCTCATTGCTCATTTTTAAACAATGTTTGCTTTTTTCCCCCACCCCTCAGGTGTAGTCCTCATAGAATTTTCTTCTCCAATTCACCTGTGCACATCACCACAGTCCCCAGTGCCTCTCTCCCTCCCTCTCCCTCCTCCTCCCATATGTCTCTGGTTTATAATTGTCTGTTTTTTTTTTTGTTGTTGTTGTTTTCTTGTGGTCTGTATTGTTATTTTTTCCCCAGATGTCTTACTTGATTCCCCTAGATTCCTGCTATGCGTGAGACCATCTGGTATTTTTCTTTTCCTTTCTGGCTTATTTTGCTGAGCATGATCCCTTCCAGCTCCATCCACGTTGCTGCAAATGGCATGAGTTTATCTTTCTTGATTGCTGAATAATATTCCATTGTGTATATATGCCACATCTTCTTGATCCAGTCATCTATTTTTGGGCATTTGTGTTGTTTTCAGGTTTTACCTAATGTAAATAGTGCTGCAGTAAACATAGGTGTACAGGTGCTCTTTAGAATCACTGTTTTTGTGTCCTTTGGGTAGATCCCTAGGAGTGGAGTTGCCAGATCGTATGGTAGGTAGCTCCATATTTAGTAGACCAAGGAACCTCCAGACAGCTTTCTATAGTGGCTGGACCAGTTTGCACTCCCACCAGCAATGTAGGAGAGTTCCTTTTTCACCACATCCTCGCCAACATTTGTTGCTGCTTGCTTTTTTGATATGTGCCATTCTCACTGGTGTAAGGTGGTATCTCAGTGTGGTTTTGATTTGCATTTCCCTGATTATCAGGGATGTTGAACATTTTTTCATATGCCTGCTGGCCATTTGCATTTCCTCTTTGGAGAAATGTCTTTTGAGTTTTTCTGCCCATTTCTTGACTGGATTATTTTGTTTTTGAGCCATGTGAGTTCTTTGTGTATCTTTGCAATCAGTCCCTTATCAGTTGAATGGAGTGCAAAGATATTTTTCTCAGTCAGTGGGGTGTCTCTCTGTTTTGGTTAATGTCTCTTAGGCTGTACAGAAGCTTTTCAGATTGATGTAATCCCAGGTGTTTATCTTTGCCTTCATTATCACTGCTTTGGGTGGTCTTTAAAGATGTTTCTGAGATGTATGTCTTGTAGCGTTTTACCTGTATTTTCTTCTATATACTTTATGGCTTCATCTTATGTCCAGATCTTTTATCCATTTTGAGTTGATTTTCGTGTACGGTGAGAGATAGTGGTCTAGTTCCATTCTTTTGCACATTCAGTTTTCCCAGCACCATTTATTGAACAAACTGTCCTTGTTCCATTGCATTTTCTTTGCTCCCTTGTCAAAGATTAGCTGTCCATATATATGTGTGCCACTCTTTTTCTTAATGGAGCTGCTAGTGCTATTTTATGTTTCTAGAAAATGAGAATCAGATTGTGTTCTACGTAGTTGGATTCAAACATTCTCAAAAGTAGTACCAAACATCTGTGTCATGAGTTATGGTGATAACATTCTAGCAACGAGAAGGCACAGTCAAACTATGGGTACAACAGGAAATTTATAGGACAATTTTTCAAGTAAGTGAAATAAGCTGGAAGGAAATACTCCCCATTACTATTATCTTTAGATCTCTAGGTGTTGAGAAGTGAGTCCCAGTTTTCTCCATATTGCCTATATTTGCTAAATGAGTTACCCTGAGGGAAAAAAAAAGCCATAAAATACAATTGTAACTACAATGGTTCTAATAGCTTGTTTCCTTTTACATAGGTTGTGCTGGTGTATGAGCAGTTCACATTCTTGGACCCAAATGAGGGAAACCTACTCTGGCTTTCGTGAGTCTGTTCCAGAATGTTGAACTTTCTTGAATTCAAAGTAGATCGTGGCTTTGATCTTCGATGTGATTAAAGGTAAAGAAGTTTCCTTCCTTGTGTAAAAACTGGTTTTCTATTTTAGAAGCAGCATGAAGAGACTTCCAGGTCTCTTGGTATTATTCTACAAACTTATTTAAAAGTATAAATTGACCAGGCAAAAGAAAATGGTTGCATAAGCAAACACTGAACTCTAAGTGGAATTAAGTAAGGTGTGTAATCAGTTAAGCATTTGATATACTTTGTTAAACACAAACTTTAGGGCCTCCTGGTGGCGCAAGGGGTTAAGCATCAGCACTATGAAGCAATTCACAGCTACTGCAATGAGTTCGATTCCCGGCCAGCGAGGTGACCCACATGGCATAGCAGACCTCTCTTGACTTACTCGCTGCTCCCCCCAGCAGTGTATTTCAGTCAGTCCACCTGTTCTGCTCCCCACTCTGTGGTGAATCTTCTCCCTCCCCTCTCCCCAACCCTCCCCCCCACTGCTGGCCTATACCCCAGCTCTTGTATGCGTAAATACATATTTACAAAAAACCCCACAAACTTTAGTGGATGAGGAGCAAAGTAGTAGTATAGGTTTGAGGAAAATCCATTTATAAAAGGACAATCCTAAAGATTATATCTGTATTTTGCTTTCTGGAGGTATACTCATCATTAGGCTAGGTTACATATAAATATGAAAAGCAGATTTCAGCTGTGTAGAAGGTTTGGTTTGGGTATGCAATTTAATGAATTTTCTTAAATTATAAAGAATAATCAAGGTTACATTTGAAAAATGTGTAAACGATACCTACCATACTTACTCATCTTTTCTTAAAATACAACACAAACCAACAGCTACAACGCTTTTTATTTTAACAAAAAGGATAGGAGGAGGGTGAGAAAAATAGGGGATGGGTTAAGATAGGATGTAAAGTGTGGTGTGTCTCTGGACACCATCCATCTCTTCCTGCCCCACACCCAAAGTTATTAAATAATTTAAAGAACACCCATTTACAGTACCAGAACACCATCAAAATAATTGTTTTTATCAGGGTCAAAAATACAGTGATTATGAATGTGCCGTGACCAGTTACAGAATTTTACAGGTAACATAGCTGTAGTCAGCAGTCCAACAGTGTGCACAGGGCCTTCAATTAATGCACTTGAGCATAATTACATTTCTGGCAGGGTCCACAGCCCCAAGAAAAGGCAAAGCTAAGCATTTCATTTCTACATTCTAAACTCTGGAATCACAGAGCCCAGTTTAAAAGAAAAGTCACAGTGGATAAGAGATGCATATAAAAAATACAAGGTGTTCCTTTCAAATCAGAGGAATTGTGGGACTACATTCATTTCTTTTACAAAATGCTATTTTAAAAAAAGGACAGAGAATCCAGTTCATGTTATGCTACAGACTTAGACAGTGAGTAAGTATATTGCATGTTTTGGTAGTCAATCTTCAGGCTTCCTTTCATTTCCCCCCGGAGCCCCAGGTTCCTTTAGGGTGAAACACACAAGTCCTGAATAAACACATAAAAATGCATTCGCATCTCTTCTTGAATTCCGCAGACTTTCAGAGCCTGCAAGTCATATACTCTACCATCAAAGACCACAATTTTTTTCTTTAACTTTGTACACCTATTCTTGTATAACAGTGCATTGCACAAATGTACAAGAAAATACTGGTTTTAATCTATACAGTTTCTATAATAATTATGGAGTAAAATAAGTTAACTTTTCTAATGAGAATAGCTGACGGGCAGCATACATCTTTATTTTACATTTTAAAGTCTCTGCAGGCATCTACTTTGGTTAGTTATCAACAATCGTAACATAAGCACTGATCAGAGAACTGAGCAGCATTCCAATAACGTTACCAGATATATTATTTCTTTTTGAAATACTGGGAAAGCCCAGTTTTAAAATATTATTAAAATGTTCTAACATTTACACACTATGAGAGTTAGATCTAATAAAATAAAATTTCTTCAAAAATAATCTTGCAGCGCTCTTTTAGGCATGCTCTGAGACATTATCACCAAACACCCATACCTGGAAAATATCACCAGCACATATTCACACATCCCAGCTCACACACACATAATTCCTTATATAGTCCAAAACAAGAACACCCACACCCTTATCCCACATAGTGAAAAATCAATGGTTTTTGCAAATAAGTCTTTCTGTTTATATCTATCAGACTGAAAGTTCTTCATGTAGATCGAGCATCAATTGCTCATGACTGCTAGAAATCCAAGCAGCTTTGCAGGTCTTCAGCCTCCATTTCAGCCTCATTTCACCTGCTTTCCAATGTTTCAGTATTAGAGGCCATTATTGCAACATTAGAGTTCTTTTCCTTCTCCAGAAAATAATGTGTTTGGATGCATCACTTTTAGCCCTTTTCTTTTCAGATAGGTTAAGTAATTTTAAAAACTCCTTCGTCTGGTTATTGTGGGAGGTATTGGCAGCTGTTAGTGAGATCTTTTCCTTCAGATCTTAGATTTTGACAGCCTTACTTTATCTTGACATTAGTCACACTGTGGTTGTGGATGCTGCCAGAAAAGTTATCAAGTGAACTGCAAGGGTTCATAAAAGGTGCTTGCTAATTTCTTAGTCATCTTCAGATTAGTTTCTTTCCTAAACGCCTGAAGTTTCTCAGAATCCAGTGCTCACCAAATTTCCAATTGGTTTGGCCTGTGCTAGAAGCTGGTATGATTGCACCATGCGTAGACTCTCTCTTATTTCTAGATTAAGTTCCATGAGCTTGTAGTTGGCTTCTGACATGTCCAGGTCAGAGCCTATAACTGCGAAGCTTCCTGTCTGGCCCAGCGTCTGGTGATGGAAATATATGTGTAACAGAGTCTGCACAGGGTCATCTTCACAACTGCCAAAGATGTCATTAGGCCAGAGAGATCTGAAAAGACAGTGTTTAAGTCCAGATAAGATTAAGTACATCCTTAGTAAATATCTGTTCCCACAAAGTTCCCTTGTGAAATCACTGAGGAATTTGTCTTACTATTTGAGTAAATATTATTACTGAAAGTATCACTTAGAGTAAACAAAATCTAAAATTGGTGTTATTACAGTATAATTGTAGAAAATAATGGCCCTTTACTTTTCCTTTCACCTCAAACTGAAAATCAACCCATTGTTAACTCCCAGTCTAAGTTTAAAGGTATCTCTTTTAAATCCCTTCATATTTTACCTGAAAGCTTTGACTTGTGCTACAGCTGATATAAATTCCTTATTTTTCAAAGTTTCAATTAAGGAATGAATGGCAGTTTCTATAGTAGTTTGTGCAGCTTTGGAAATATCAATTTCTTCATTTTCTGAAGCTGACTCGGCTTCTTTGAGGATACTTTCTAGTTGGGCAAGTTCCTCTGACATGTTGATGACCTAAAAGAAAGAAATACACTTTGAAAGAACATCTGTTTCTTTACATCTGATGGTAGTATATAAACTTAGTAGTTATAGGCAGTTCTCTATTCAGTAAAGAGAAGTCATTTTAGCAAATAGTCTTTACAAGTTATTTTATTAGAATTAATGCTATACTGTAATAAAACAGGTTGTAACCACTGTTTATATTGGTTGTAACGTGATATATATTATACGTCACATAGTAAAAATGCACTGTTGTGGGAGGACCATAATTTTTTTGACCTTAAAGGAAAATTTTATATTTTAAAGTTACTTACCCAAGGTATTTTATATAAATCTGTCTTTTGCTAAATAAATTTAACCATTAAAAAGACAAACTATATCTCCAGTGATAGTTCTAAAACTAAATTCCTACTTTTTTTTAACATTTATTTATGCATACAAGAACTAGGTATAGGCCAGAGGTGCGGGGGTGAGAGGATTCACCAGAGACAGAGTGGGGAGCAGAACAGGCGGACTGACTGAAATACACTGCTGAGGGGAGCATTGGGCAGACAGGAGAGGTCTGCTGTGCCATGTGGTTCAGCTGCCTGGCCAGGGGTCGAACTTGTGCTGCACTGGCTGGCAATAGCTTGATAGTGCTGATTTTAACCCTGTGCCACCAGGGAGGACCTAAGTCCCTGCTTCTGAATCAATTCATTACTGACTTCCAATAGGCAAAGTGTTGACATGGTTAATACTGTATGCATTACAGAAATAATACATGCATAAGATATTAAGGGGCCTTCACAATATAAATGTCTTTGTTGAACTGATGCATCTTAGTTGACTTTTTTGATTACATATGTTCTTTAAGGTCTTCAGCCTTTTAAGACTGCTGGCTATTTGCTATCTAATTTAATAATAGGTCCTAAAGTAGCACATCATTTTAAAAAAATTAAAAAATTTGCTTGTGACTTTTGACATAAGCTCCCCTACAAATATTTTAGTTTTCTGAAATTGGCTACCCAGTCCTGGTACTTACCTCTGCTTCATTTTTTATTGTGTTTACTTGGTTGATAAGTTTACAGTAGGCTTGGAACAAAAGCAGCAATTGAAAATGCAACTTGTACAATCTTCGGCAGAGCTCCAGTTCCTAGAAAGAAGTAACACTATTAAATTTAGGTGTGATTTCCATGATATCTGATTAACTAGATAGCATTATTTCCAAAAAAAGTTATAAGTAAATAATTATGTTAAAATTGTCTTTGCAATAAGCAAGTTAATATGATGTGAAGATGATAAAAGACAGATGAGAGATGTTTTGAAGACTGGGATTAAAGTAAAAATTTAAAAGATTTGGTTACATAAGTCACATTTAATGTGAAGCACATTTCCACATAAGACAGGTAAGAGTTTTTCAGGAGATTATGGTATACTTTTAAAAAAAGATTCACTGAAACTTTATCCTTTAAATATGTAGTGAAATGAATTTTGCAAGTGTATATACTTTAGCCACACTGAGATATGTATCTCACTGCATGTATCATTAAGTGCTTGATAAAGCCAAGTAAAATTGATAAACTCTTGCCTAAAATGTGAGAATAGTTTACAAAATGGTTTTTTTTTTAAGAAAAATTATTTTAATCTCATTAAAATGAGACAATGAAATTAACATATGCACTTTTTTTAAAATTAAGAAATTTCAAAGATGTTAGTGATAGCTGTATAAGAAAGTGACTGCTAGTTTTACATATTGATAAAATCTGTTTCTAGAGGACCAACATTTCATGGATTAGGGCTATGCAAAACTGAAGCACACATTACTTCTTAAAGTAGTCCATGACAAAACATTGCTAGATCACAAATGACAAATGAAAATCAGTTTGTCCAACATGGATAAGTATTCTATAAATTAAGACAGGTCACTTACTGCTAGAATTTCCATTTGCTAAGCAAGAAGGTAATCGGGTCACAAAAAAATACAAAAGAAGAAAAAGACCAAGAATTAGTGTAAGAAATCATTTTAAGTAGGGTCACAGATGTCCCAGGCAAACTGAAGGATACTTAATTACACCCCAAAGAAAAGTTTGGTGCTATTTCCAGATAAAATTTTAGGAATTTACCATAGCAATCCAGGGTGTTTTTAAATTCTTGACTGAATTACTTTTAGGCTTGAGTTTATTTCTTGTGCAAAAACTATACTGGAACTAATATTATCTTGGGAAATTTGACTTATAGCTGGTCTTCTAGATAAGGTTTTTATAGTATTTTTTAAAAAGCCAAATGTAATAAAATTTCCATTAGTAAAGTGGAAAAATTCTCAGAAGAAATAAATTACTCTTCTCATAAAGGATTGGTTTGTAAATCTGATAAAAATACCCTGAGAAGAGTATCTCTGGTGTGGTTCATTCTAGGCTTGCTACCCTTTACTGTCTAATTAGGTCCTATGTTGCCATAATTGGTACTGAGTCAAAGTTAAACTATTGAAAGCAGATGTGTTTTAGATTGCATTCCTAATGTACACTTCAGTAAATTATCCACAGCAACTTGGATCTTTTTCTCATTAATGGAGAAGAGGGTCTTCCAACTAAAACAGCAATTGCCATCATATAAATATTGCTTCTAAAAGTCTCTTTTGAAGTCTGCTTTTCTAAATAGTTTCCTCTGGCAGACTGTTGATATAACGTTCCTATCAATTTAGAAGGGATTTGCTAAGCAAAGGTGAACTTTAGCTCCATACTACTTACCATTCACAATGTGTGGTCAACATGAATTGAGCACAAGCCAATGTCAAACACATTAGCATATCTAAATTTCTGAGGTTTTACTTTTTGGTTTTATATGGAAACTAACAACTATTTGAGTTTAAACATTTTCTCATTCTGTTAGGATAAATAAATAGAACTTAACTCTATATGCATATATCCATAGCCTCTATTTTGGGATATAATGGAAATCACTGATCAAATGATTCCTACCATAATGGTAAGAAATTAATAACCCTATAGTTCAGAATTACTCTAAATTTACACATATATCCCTCTGCATTTTTTTTTGACAGCTTATGCAGAAGTCGATATTGGCACACAGGGACAAAGAGTAAATGAAACTAAACGTACAGTTTTTTACCTTTCAGTTAGTAGAAAACCTTAAGCTACATTAACTGACTGAGACTCCTGGAGATAGAACTCATTTTCTTTAGGAGTTTGTTACTTGTTCAAGCCATGTAGTTAAATAGTGGAAAAGGCAGAATTAGAATGAAAGGATCTAATGCTAATCTAGAAGTTGGTTAATTCCTTATCTTACCTCATTTTTCTATGCATAGATGATGTGATAGACTGTAACAGTGCAGGATTTGGAGTTAGCCTACCTAGATTTGAGTCTTGATTCTGACTTTAGATAACTTAGCTTCTCTGAGTCTCAAGTTTCTAATGGGCAAAATGGGGATAATTATACAATCTACAAGACAAGATATAAAGCCAAAGATAATGTTGAAATGCCAACAGCTAACGTTTATTGATACATTCTATTCTCAGTATTTCTACTGCTTTTAAGAATTCAAAAATTTTCTTACAAATAACTTACAGTGACTAGAAATCTAACAATGTAAACTGAGTTTGGAAAGATTGGAATTATGATGTCAAATGCAATTTTAATTGATCAATGCATCTTCTCCTTATGAAGTTGCATTACGGTTAGAACTTGTAGGTCTTAACATGTGTTACATATTGTACACTTTAGGAAAATATATTTTCACTGGATTTCATATTTGCAAAAACCAATTTATGCAATCAGAATTTCACCTTTAAAAGGTTAATATGAATGTATATCACATTACTATTAGCTTGCTTTCCTGAGAAGACAACTTATCTGTAGAATACTAATGCAGAACAACAACAACAAAATGTTTTAAAGAGGCAGATGCAACTGAAAGCCAGCCTGGACTGTTCAGATATCCATCAAGCTTGTCTAGTGAATGTTATTAAGCTTGTCACAAAGCTGGTTGTTCAATTTTATTAAAGCAGTTTTTTCATTACTAAGCCAATATTTCATTGAACCTAACTTTTACTAAAATTATTCTGATAGCAGAAATAGATAGTCACAAGTATTCTTTATTTCTAGGGATAGCAGTTAAGAAATTTTGAACATACACATTATTTTGCCTGATAACAGTATAGCGAAATTAAGAATAAGGAACTTACTTGTGCTTCTGTGTTTATGCTATACATGTCTTCTTTGGCACCAAAGGTCCTCTTACAGTTGTCTAACCACTAAAGAAATAAACAACAATGCATTTTAATACAGTAATTAAACAATGAAGTTGGGAATCTAACAGCCCATGCATAGAAAACAAGTTAACTTGAATTTATAGGGCTAGTTTGTAGATACAGATGTTCTTCTTCATTCGCACCTCATGTTTTATATGCAGCAAATGAAGGCAGATGATACTGTCAGTATAACTAGAAGTTCACTTGTTACTGTTTACTAATGGAAAAATAGTCTATCTCCTAAGGATTTGTGGTGCTGCCATCCCAGTAAAGGGTATTTTTCAGTTTGCAGATTTTATTGGAGATTTTCACATCCTATCCTGACCTTTGTCAGATGTAGGATGAGGAAATGAAAGATGAGCTTTCCCTCTAGTCAATTTAATAAAGGCAACTGAAAATTTAACCAGGTCTGTTTGCTTATCAGAAGTCTAATTCTCAGAGGACAGTGTCAGTTTTAATCAGTGAGACAGAAACCAAAATCCATTTAAATCTTATTTATTTTTTTTCTGGACAGTAATGAATGACAAACGTTATCTCCAAAGAATACTGAATATAGAAGCTAAATGTGATTTTTCCCCATCAAAGAGCTATTCCTAAAGCTGTATATTTAAGGTATCTTTTTAAATTTCATTATTTCTGCATAGAGAGGCATGGGGGGCGGAGAATAGTGAATATAGAAGCTAAATGTGATTTTTCCCCATTAAAGAGCTATTTCTAAAGCTGTATATTTATCTTTTTAAATTTCATTATTATTTATTTTTGCATATAAGTGGGATATAGACCAGAGAGGTATGGGGGCAGTGGGTGAGAGGATTCACCAGAGACAGTGGGGAGCAGAACAGGTGGATCTAATGAAATACACTGCTGAGGGTAGCAGGGGGCAAGACAGGAGAGGTCTATCATGCCATATTTGGGTTAGCTTCCTGGCAGGGGATCAAATTCAGGCCACAGCAGTGATATTGCTGAGATTTAACCCCTTGGCTACCAAGGAAGCCCCTACCTTTTTGTTGCTCAAACAAAAATAGCATTGTGGGTTAGTGGGGGAAAAACAACCGACTGAAGTCAGAATTTTTAAGCTGAAGGGAGAGCTAAAACCTTCAAGTATTAACCATTCAATATTATTACCGGTGTGACTTCCTAGGCTCTTTTTGCATGTATGATAAAATTAAATATAATAATTACATTTTAGGAAAAAATGTAACAAAACAAATACATGTAGGGAAACATTAAGACTGATAAAAACTACTAACTACATTAAGTTTACTCTGACAATCTTTCAGTCTTTCAGTACTATTGGGTTGTTGGAGAAGTCATGACATATTTTTTCTGTTTTCGGTGTAAAAACGTGTCATGACTTTTCCAACAACCGAATATATATTTAAAATTCTCAATTGTAACTTAACATTCTACATGCAAGGAATTGAAATTAGACATTAGTTATTTCAAAACAATCTCTTTGACCTTGTGTCCCTTTTATCTCAGTCCCTCAGACTGCACAGGCCCTAAGGCCACTTGCTTGACAGCATCTCTGAAGAAAAACATGTTAAGCCTTCCTCCTCAGAGCTGCTGGCAGCTATTGTCAAAAGCTACCAACAGATTTCTTAATATCCGCAAATTCAGTCAATAGCATGGAATTTGTAAATTGGTCTCCATTCATACTAAATGTTAAAATGCTTACATATAATCATCATCACCAATTCAGTCCAATTTATCTATATGCAATAATTTGAAAAAGTTTTTTTTGTTGATTCCTTATTCTTACTAAATCTTTATACTATGTGCCTTTTGGGGGAGTGGCACTATCCTACACAATTATTTCTAATTTTCATTCTGTTAAAAAAAACAAGTCCCAAATATATTGCCCCATGACTGCATAGTGGGCAGAAAAGTATAGGTCCACCCACCCCTTCCAGCCAGCACACACCACACATTGGATCACCTATGTATGTTTGACCATGCAGTTCAAATCTGATCAAACATCTTCCTGTGAGTTTTCTTTTCTCAAGGCTCAAATGAAGGCTAAATTTTCACTGGAGGAGTTTCTCCTGCTGTGCATGGTGGAGTAGCCTGTATAAGGTCAGTCCTGCAGGGACCACTACAACAGCTAGATACCATCAGCCAAGATTTAGAAAGTTAGAGCTTGAGAGCCCAGTGCTTACTGTGAGGGTATCTGCTTATTTACGTCCATAGGCTTAGAGACTGAACAGAAAGTAGTGGCTATAGTTTCAAGGACTGGAAAGGCATGAAGGGCCAAGATCCTGGAGAAAGGAAACTGCAGAGAGGGATCCAAGAATCTGCACAGATTGCCCTGGAGCACAAGCCATCCTCATATTAAACCTGTGCCTGAGAAGCTGAGCAGCAGTCTCTGAGGCTAACAAAAGGTAGGCAGAACTTGCTGGTCTCATTGTGGTGGGAAGACAAAAATTTTCAATTCCTGTCAAGAATTGAGGGGGTCCTATAGAAATACCTTACACTTTTACCAGTGATCCTTAGAAGTCCAAGACTCAAGGGATAAAAGGATTTATCATTAACAAGCAATTAGATGGGGGCCTCCCCCGTGGCGCAGCGGTTGAGCGCTGGGTTGCGAAGTTGCCCACAGCCTCTGCAGTGCCGGTTCGACCCCCGGCTGCTCCCCGGCCACCAGAGGAGGGTCCCACATGGTGCGCAGACCTCTCCTGCCCTCAGCAGTGTACTTTGTCACTCTGCCTGTTCTGCTCCCCGCTCTGGCTCTGGTGAATTCTCTCACCCTCCCGCGCTTCTGACTGTACCCAGTGCTTGTATAAATAAACAAATAAATAAATAAATCTTTAAAAAAAAAATTAGATGGAAAAAATTAATAAAAAATTGAGTTGATAGAAGACAAGAAAGGTGAAAAAGTAACAAATAGATGAAACAAGAAACATTCCTTCCTGAAGGAAGGAATCAAGGTTCATTTTTCTTCCACACATATAAAAATTTAATTGATTCGGCACAATTTACTAAGGAAAACATACCTCACTTCATTGCAGTAGCACCGTTGCTCTAAATAGATATGTATGGGTTTGTTACTGGATTCCTTATTATATACCCCTGGTCTGTCCACTTATACAAATACTACCTCCTTTTGTAATTTTGTATAAGTCTTACTAACTAGAAGTTTAACTTTGTTAGGATTTTGTTCTTCATGAACAAAGTATGGAAGACTTTCTGTAAACAGGCTGTAAATATTTTAGGGGTTGCAGACCATATATTATCTGCTGCAAATACTTAACTCTGTTGCAGTGAAAAAACTGCCATAGACATAACTTGTAAATAAATGGGACAGCTGTGTTCCAAAAACCTTTATTTGCAAAAACACAGCGGGGCAGACAGGACCTGAAGACTATAGTTTACCGTATCATTCTGTTCCTGAAATAACCCTCCAATCTAAAATTACCATCTGTCAAGTTTTCCGATTAGCCTTTGATCTACAGTGACCTGTCTTTGGAAATCATAGTATTTGGTTCTGCATTAGTTTTCTGTTAGACCTTTGATTATGGGAAGTCTTTTTACAGTGGCAGTGCTTTTATCTATAGCTCTGACTTAAGTGAAGCTTTGCTTTTGTTGCTAATTATTCACATATAACATTTGTGCTTTATAGTCCTACTAGAATATTTAGGGAATAAGAACTAGATTTTAGGGGCCTCCCTGGTGGTGCAGCGGTTGAGCGCTGGGCTGCGAAGCTGCCCACAGCCTCGGCAGTGCCACCGGGCGAGGGCCCACATGGCGCACAGACCTCTCCTGCCGCCTGCTGCCCTCCTCAGCAGTGTATTTCGTCAGTCTGCCTGTTCTGCTCCCCGCTCTGGTTCTGGTGAATTCTCTCACCTTCCCGTGCTTCTGACTGTACCCAGTGCTTGTATAAATAAATAAATAAATCTTTAAAAAAAAAAAAGAACTAGGTTTTAAACTTATTAATGAAAGACCCAATTCCTGTTCCAGGAAAAAAAGCCTGTTTGTGTAAAAAGGAGAGGTGTTTTTTTTTTTTTTTTTTAGGTTTTTCTGCCAATCGGTTGAAAACATACTGGACTTACACTCAGGGAACGAACTACCATGTCCTACCGTGCCACTCTGGAGCTGAAGAAACATTTCTGAGCAGGTCATGGAGCTCGTCTATCACGTGTGCTACTTTCCCCCTCTGCTTGCCTGTACACACCGCACAGGAAAGTGATCACGACTCTTGTCACAGGCTGCAGATTTTCTGGACCACACTATCATAATGCATTGTCAGAGGAATACTGCTTGTATTCCCCCACCTGTAATGCTGAGGGCAGCTACACTGTCTCCACACACAAGCTTTTTATAAAGCTAGAGTTTTCCATTTTGCGATTAGGCTCTCAAGGCCCCACTTCTCAAACCCATAGATAGGAAATCACAGGACAGAGCTCAAAGACCCCACTGTTCCCAGTAAGGCTCCATGGCACGTACTAAGACGTCCTCTTCTCTGTCTCTGCTATTGTGCTTGCAGTGTCAGAAGCAAACTACTTTTCTCCCATGGTAGAGCGAGACTGACCTGCTCAGCGGCTTCTCTCTTGGCGTTGTATGTATCCAGGTGTTCTTGCAACTCCAAAACACTGAACTTGAGTGTTTCCAGTAAACCACATGACATCAGCTGTCGAATCAGAAAGATGATTGAAGTTACCACTCTGCTTGAAATCATGAGACTGACTACCTTGGATCATGGAATTTCTTCTTGTTTTGGGCCCTACTTGGTGTCAGTGTCCCTTATTGCTCCTCACCTTACTAAGGGCCGCCCTTTCAAAGGAGACAAGGTGCAGTGAGATTTCAGGATATGGGGAAGAACAAGCACTCCTTCAAATGCTTTAAAAAACTGGCTCAGATGAGATTGATGCTCCAGATTAGTATATATCTTAAGGTTTAAGAAACTTTAAGGGGGCCTCCCCTGGTGGCGCAGTGGGTTGAGCGCAGTGCTGTGAGGCTGTCCGCAGCCTCTGCAGTGCGGGTTCGATCCCAGCCAGCAAGAATCCCACATGGCGTGGCAGACCTCTCCTGTCTCACCTGCTGCTTGTCTCAGCAGTGTATTTCACTCAATCTGCCTGTTCTGTTCCCCGCTTTATCTCTGGTGAATTCTCTTACCCGCCTGCATGTCTGACCTGTATCCCAGTTCTTGTATGTATGAACAAATAAATCTTTAAAAAATAAAATAAAAAGCTTCAAGGAGTTTACCCTTAATTCCTTAAACCTTAATTGCTTAATACACAGCCTACAATTATGGTTGCCTATGAGTCAGAGGAAAACCTGGGAATTCTGGGTTCTCCACAAGAGCCCTCTCCTATTAACTTGATTCAAAAATCAAAGGAACAGTGCATTTCTAAATGCCTTAGTTTCCCATCTAGGATTAGTGGAGAGTGAGTCAGGGCAGGAATGGGGTCAGAATCAAATAATCACTGCATGTGATGTATGGGAAATGTACTGTGCCAATATTTACAATCAAGTTCAAAATATGAACATGTACACTTCAAATTCGGAATTACTTTCTAAAAAGAACATTCACTGAATACTGTCTTTGAAATTTAGCTTTTATAATTAGCACTCAAGTGGAAACTTACTGTTTCAGCATCCACAAAGACCGTGGGGCATTCTGAACATATCATCATCACTTCCAGTGAACTTTTAAATTTGGCACCAACACGTTGCAGACTCTCACCAAGAAAGCTGACTGCCTCATTAGTTATGTCTCCAAACTTTCTTTGAATTGTCTATGGAGAAAAGCATTTAAAAAAGTCTAGTATTTCATAAGTACATATACAATAATGATATGCAATTGCAGTGATACTAATCTGTAAATCCATGTTTATAGGCAGTTCTTTAGGAAACAGTTTAATTTCTAAAAATGATCAAAGATTTACAAAATAGTATTATTGAAAATGGAAACAATAATACATGGCATTTCTCTCCCCATCCCTAAAATGTTTTGACTAGGCGAGTGAGAAGGAATGCATGCTGCACATCCTGGGAAAAAGTGCTCACGTGTCTGAAGAACTACCTTCTGCCCCAAAAGAAACTTTTGGTAAATGCAGTTTACTGCCATCTAGGCTGCCATCTGACTGTAATGTCATAAAAATGCTTTTTTTGTGAACTCCGCAGTGTTCACTCACTTAAAACTACCAGAGAGTGCTTGACCTACTCAATGAGGCGGCAGTATTATCAGTAGTGTAATAATCATATAAATGGCTAAATGTGTACCTACAAGTGGATGAATAGGACTGTTAGCTTTTAATAATCATAATAAAATTACACCTAAGACAAGAAATGGATAGTATTACTGGAAAGAAAAGAATGTAAATAGAAAACAAGTAGCAATGCAAAAACTACTGAATTACATGCTCAAATTAATGAGCACTAAAGAACTCCCAGAAAGAAGAGCCTGGTGTGGCTGGCAATGCTGCAGTGAGACTATGTGCTTTGTGGAGACTTCCAAGGTGGGCAGAATTTCCTCAGGTAAGGAAGGCAGGTGGTATATAGTTCAGAAGATAATGACTTTAATAGTGGCATCTCTCTGTGCCTTGGTTTAGAATGCTAAAAACATATCTACATTACATAGGTCCATGGTAAGAATTAAATGCCAGTATGTAGCGTACTCAACAGATGTCAACGTGTACATTAATCACTGTTTTTACAGTTGAGGACACAACCTTAGCTAAAACCTTTCAGGTCCCCACACTCTAACCAAAGTGCCAATGCTTTTACCACTTTATTATAGACTCTGTTATAAAATGACCGCGAGCACCTTGAAGGCAGGGACCATGTCTCACACCTGGCATCCCTGAGGAGGCCTCGTGTACTGTAGGACATTGACCTGATGCTGATGTGATATTTTCATCTATTCACGGGGGGTGGAGGGGGTTTGCTGTACTAGTGCTTGTGTGATAAAACAGAGGTACTCCAAAATATACATTCAAATAAGATCACTCTTAGGAAAAATGCTTGTTAATCAGTGGAAATTCTAAAATTTGAGGTGCTGATCTTTGAACCAAAAAAAGCCCGTAACTTTGCCGGGTGACTCTAATAGGAATTCAGAAGGCAGGACCGTCGCTGACCTGAAACAGCCTAGAGAACACGTGAAAAGTGAACACGGCACAGGACCCGTCGGTGTCGGACAGCATCTGGCCCACGTGGCAGCGCCAGGCTTCCTCATCATCGTCACAAGCCGCTGGCTGGAAAGCAGCGATGATGGCGGAAAGAAACGGCGATGGGAGGGGTGATGTGTGCACCTCTGGAAAACCGTCTTGTTCTTCTTCTTCTTGGCTGTTAACACAAACACCAGCCATCACAGTACTCTCTTAGGAGAACGGACTGTTACTGAAAACGGTTTGGTTTAAGTCCCACCATAAATTACTTTTGCTCGTGTATATATGAATTAGACTTAAAAAATGTGACCATTAAAAAAAAAAAAAAAAAATGTGACCATTGATAATTTAACTGTAAAATAATTTTTTGGATTGAATCCAGACTTATTCTGGGACCACAGAAGTTTATTTTGTGATTTTAACACTTCCCTCTGGCTGTGGCCCCATCAATACTACTGAGTTTAATACTTGGCCATCTGGCATCCTGCCAAAGCAGACATCAGGTGTGCTTCCAAACATAAAGGGCCACTCACTGGGCTTTGACAGTATGATCAGAGACTAAAACATACACAGAAATGAAAATAAATTGCATCAAGGGTCATATTCGGGAGGAGATGCGAGAGAAAATACCACCTTATTTTAGTCTGTCTGCTCACCTAGACAGTCCAGAAAAATCAGCTTCTTCTTCTTCACATCTTTCGTCTAGTTCTTTCAAAGCTAAAGTAACATCATCTTCACAGATAGATTCAGGGTAGCTTCCAGGAGCTAGGGGCTCTGGCATTTCAGCTTCCTCTAAATCAAGAATTCCCTGACACACAAGAGAATCTTGTTGTTCTTGCATTAAATATGGCCCTTCATCTTCAAAGGCTGTAGTAACCTGTTCTTCTTTTAATACTGAGCTTGTATCCTGTAAAACAATGGTATTTCATGGACTTTAAAAACATTCACAAAGAATTTTATCATTGTAGAGAAAATACTATTAATCTACATCTATTTCATGAGGTGGTCTTCATTGGCACCGTGTTACTATTGAAGTGTTTTGATTCTGATTACATATATATTTTTAAAAAGTCCCAGGTTTCAAAAAATCTTCAAACTAAAATGTATCACCTGTTGACTCAGACAACTCACTATCTTTTTGCTCTTAGTAGGATTTAGGTGTTCATGTAGAAATATGGTCATGGGAAAAATACCTTCTCTCCTATGAATTCTAATTCTACATAAGTAAAACCTTATTAGTATAAATTCTAATTTGAAATGTCATTTCTTTCATTATACCAGAACATGACATTATAGCCTGTGAATTCTGGATACAAGAGAAGGCAAAAATTCAAATTAGTGAGCCCACTGCTTCTGTAGGGGTACCCATGAATTGTTAACAGTTACTAACCAATCAGGAGGAAGGTGAACTGAAACACTGAGGGTGGCACTCCTGGTATAAGTGAGCTGAGTTGAATACTTGTGATGGAAGGGTTATTTTCCAGTAAGACCAACTAAGAATGCTTTATCATTGAGGAGAAGAATTCAGAAGACACTGGGAAATTCTAGAGTGTCGTGGTTTTGAAAATTAAATTAACTATAAGCCCATTTATCAAAAAGTGACTGCACTCTTCTAACCCTAAGCAAATGATAATGAAAACATGTGTTATAAAGTATATAAGTGGTTTTACTTTCCTATCCGTTGCAACACTATTGAAATAACACTGCTACGTGCCCAGCATGGAGTTAGAACCACCAGTACGTGTTAGCTGAAGTAGATGAACTGCACTACTAAAATGAAGACCTCTAAAGTGTATCTACAGTAGTATCAACACCAGTTTTAAATCACATGACTTTTAATCAGTTTGAAAATGAGCACCAATGGTCTCAGAGATTTAGGAATAAAGATCAGCTTCTTTCAGTACTTTGACCTATGGTACTGCTTAATTGTACAGTAGTTTTTGGTCTCTTTTTTAATAGGTAAAAATAGAATTTTCCTTCCAAAATATAAAAAGTAAATAAAACAGTCCCTGAAGGTAGAACCATCCTGGACTTTAGTTATTTCACCTGTAAAAGTTCATCTATAAAATAAAATGACCAGTTTCTGGGTGGGGCATTCCAGGATAAATTCCTAATTACAATTCATTTATGATCTAATAATGGGATTAGGCTAATATGCATATGATAATATATATTAGAGTACAATAAGTAGAATGTGAGTATAACCAACATACCAAGGACTGCATGTTTTCAAAGAAGGAAAAGCTAACATCTGGTTGAGGAAATCGAGACTAGTCTCTTCAGAAGCTTGGGCAAAGACAGTAGCAATAGTTATGGAGGAAATTATTTGTTTTCTCTCCTCCTGTGTTGAAACTTTAACACCCAAATGTAATAGTATTTGGAGGTGGGACCTTT